AACAGTTTGAGGTTTTTCTGCCTCCGTAATTTATATCACATACTTCTGTGAAGCCTGTGCGTTGTACTCTTGCATCTGATTGTGCGAGTTGAATGTATCCGGGTTGTGCCTTTACAGATAGGTATAGTTCAGTCACTACACTTCGGTCCATACAAGAGCGTTGTGCCCCTGAATCCACTAGTGCATTGTATGTGGTGCCATTGATTTGTATGTCTATGTGCAATCTTTGGTCGCATGGATTCGGAAGTAAAGAAATGGGTGTGTAATCAATATCATTCGCATTTATTAACAACGTTTCTTCATCAGTGTGTGCATTCACAATGTCTACTATGTTTATCATGTTAGCCTCCGACCATCAAGCCTTTCATAGATCTTCATCCATCTCTTGCACCTTATTGCCATTGGTAATGGCTAACTGGTCAACATGGACGGTTTGGTTCTGTTGCGCTTCACGTGCTTCTGCCTTTCGACGGTTGTTTGCCGCTTTGTTGGGGCACTTGCTGAACGCATGTGGTGAGGGGTTTATCCCACAGTGTGGGCAGGGTCGTGGTCCTCGTGGTGCTGGAGTGTCAGTGGCCTGTCCTCCGGGACGACCTCTGCCTTGCCCTCCTGGTGGACCTCCACCCCTTGGTGGACCTCCACCTCTTGGTGCCCCCCCCCCCTCTGGGTGGACCCCCTATAGGGATGTCCAGTCTTGGGCGAGTAGCTCGCGGTTCATGAGCATGTGTGTTTTTCGCTCGTTTGGCTTCACGCTTGCGATTTGGCTTGTGTTTTGGTTGCCTGTCTGATCATGTCTTCGGTGAGATCTTGAAATACTTTCTCTGAGATGTCAGATAAATGTCCACTACTACCGTCTGGTTTTGTCTGGGCCTTGATCATTTTGTCTGTTTCTGCTTGTAAACCATACATGACTAATACTTGGTAACGTGATGCTTTGAGGAGTTGCCAATTGATAGCCTCTCTCTCCGTGCCCTTGTAGCGCTTCTCCAACTCAAACATTGTGCGACGCAACCGTGCTGCCCGTACTTCGACAATTATACGAGTGTCATAGAAGTCGCTGAGCCGTTTCTCTAGTAGATAGTCTACTGGAATGCGACGTAGATTGTCAATGATTAATATGTTGTAGTCCTCCACATCAGTGAAGTCTTGCCAAAGCTTTTTGGTACTACGTATATTGTTGAGTGCAGTGCGCGAAACTTCGGTTGCATCTGTCTGTCAGAGCAGCTCTTGTACTAGTGAGAGGTACTGTATCAATGGCATGTTTGTGCCCGCAAACAAGTCTTTGGCTACAGATACAAACTCAATTGTATCACGACAATCAGCCATACTGACATATTTGTCTGCTGGCCACTTAGGGAACTCACTCGTCTATTACTGGAACTAATCGCTTTGGTTGTTGTTCATGAACTGCTTTGCGCAATTTGTGAAACGCTCTAATGTCAATACAACTTGTCTACTAGTATGTCTATAATGTAGTAGTTGCTCTCATAGATGATCTTGTCCAAGACTATGTTGTACTTACTCATTGCTGGATCCATTGGAGCTCGTGCTGGTGTGGACTCATCGTCCATGTGCATCGCTCTATCCCCATTGTGTGGGGTAGAGGTGCGTGACGATGCTTGCGAAACTGGCATTGTGGTTGCTGTTTCTGGACGTGTCCTGGTCGTACGACTCGTATTGCCTCTGGTCTGTGTTCTGCTTGAGATCACTTGTGTGCGTAGGCTTCGTCGTGCTACACGTGTCCTCTGATATGGAGCAGAAGTCATTGACAGTGCTGTGTGTGTAACATTTGTTGTTATGCCAGACTGTGTATACTACTGAGTACAAGTGGCTCTTATGTGCCTACGTCAGTTTTAGTAAATTCGATTGATTACCTTTGTTTGTGCTTCCTTGTAGTGTCACGTAGTGAAGACGTGTGTAGTAGCTTGTCTCTGGTCTGCTCAACTCAGCGTTCTTTGCAATACCTGGGTTTATATTGTGAGTTTTTTGTTTAAGTGGATAAACCTGGGTTTATCTAGGTTTATTTGTGTATTTGAAATAAACCTGGCTTCTCGTGTGCACTCAGTTTGTTGTATGTGAGACTTTTTGGTTTATGGTTTTTATTATTTTAATTTATAAAACTTTAATTTGTAAAAATGTGTGACAATGTGGTAGTGACTTTTGTCACTGTACCGAACTCCTTGTGTATATGTATCTTATTTGTCCCCTTGTGGTGTATATGTCACCTTATTGTGATACTTGTGTATCGTTTTGGTTTGTGGGTGTACCGAACTTCCTTGATTTAGGTAGTTGTGTGGGGGTTATGGTATTGTATGCACTTTAAGTTCTGTTTATTGTGAGCTACGTTACATTAACTGTTTTTGACTTAGTGAGATAGATACTTCTTGTCTGTGTGTGCACCTGGAGTCTTTCTTGGTGTCGGTTATGTCATCCAACTCCCTTGGTTTAGGTAGAGGTGTGCGTGACTGTATGTGCACGTGAAGTTCTTATTATTGTGCTTCAAGTACTCTTGTGCATTAGTTAAATGTACGTATTTATTATTGTGTCAAGTATTCTTGTACACGGGTTGATGTTCGCATATACGTTTGTGTAGAATGTATTGTTCCGATTTAAAGAGATGGTGTTTTTCTTGTTTCGATCACGATGTAAAGCATTTCACAATGTGTCTTGTTTATAAGATCTCTGGTAAATGGTTCTCAATGAGAGGTCCTATCTATTCCAATGTCCATGTATTTTGGATCCCAGTAGCGATTTATTACACAAGTCTTGAGAGACTACAGTAGAAGACGTATTTCTATATACGTTAATAACGTTTTACGTCGTCAGCCCGAGAGCAATTTAGAACTTGTTCTCAAATTAATAAAAGTATTGGTGGGTCAGCCCGAGAGAACGTAAGAGTATTTTGATACTTCTTCTCAGATTATTCTATTTATAGAATACGGGCCACCGGCTAGCCGAGAGCCGATGTCCGAGACTGAGTGCTGTAACAGAGAATATGATATATTTATTTCTGGGAAATATATTCGAGTGCTAAAGTGTTCTGCATAAGGTTTCTCATACTGATCATATGAGTTTTTACCCTGGCCAACCCAAGTGGTTGAACACTAGTACAAACACCATCAGTATATAACTGAGGGTGAGATCATAAATAAGTTTTATTCGCATGCACCATACTTTACATACATTTGCACTTTATTTAAAAAGTCTACTACATTGCACGCTTACAAGTCTTATCGTGGGCGTACTGTGGAGCTCAATATCCCTATGTGTTGTCTTCTGTATTCCCATTAAGTTAATATATTGATAGATGCAACTATATTGAAGGTGGCTATAGAACTCTTGTCTGATTTCATTCGAGATTGTGAGTTACTTGTCTGATTTCTCTTTGTTGAGGATCCGTTTTGCCTAGGGTTCTTATTTTGTTGAGTTATAGCGATTTGTTTGTGTAATGGGTGTGGATGTGATAATCTTATTGACTTGTTAATGGAACGTTGAGTTGAATGTTTGTGCCTCAATTCTTCTTTACTGATTTCTAGCCCGATTGCCTCTGTGGTTGTTTCCCTCAGTGATCTTGTGTGTACTCGTGCGTTCAGTAACTTCCGCGGTTTGCATTACTAGTTTGAGTTCTACGGACTATGTATTTTGTTTGGATTTTGTGCCATTCTATGCCTAATTTGAAGTTGTACGTCTAATTCACTCAATGTTATCGAGTATTCTCATGTTTCGTTTACTTTCATTTAATTGTATGGCCTATGTTGTTCATTTGCCAGCTTCTGTTGGCGTGGAAGGCTTATGTAACTGTTCTTAGAAAACGACTTACTAAATCTTCTTACGAAGATCCTTGAGCTTCTATAGGAGATTTCACTTCTGGGTGATGTTATTAAATTTAACATTTCAATGTCTATAAATAAGGACTAACTTGTGAATGGCCCCAGTGCGAGTTCGGGTGTATCGTGTTTTGTGTGGCGTGAATCCCGTTGTTTTGTTTAGTACTTATTGCACCCTGTTGGGCTCATTGTGTTGGGCTAATTATGCACCTTGTTCGTTGTTTAGGTACTACTATGTTTTGGCCTACCACAATAAAAGAAGTTATCACCTTGACACTTTTCTAAAATTGTCTTTTTTCTTCTTCAACATTGATAAAGTTATCAACTTGACAGGTCTGATATTTTTGTACGTGTATTTCTCAGGTGAACTTACCTTGGAGTCACCTGAGGGTTAAAAACACTTACTGCGTACATGGTTTGTCAGACTTGTTTTGTTCTCGAGAGGTTCCTGTTTCTTCTCTACTCTTCTGCTTTTCCACTAAGTATTCTTAGTTGGTTGCTTCTTCTGAGTTTGTGCGCGGCTGTTTCCTGTGTTAGACAGCTCTCTTCCCACTGTAGAGTAGTATCTTCTCGTCCTCCCGTTGTGACTCAGTCTCTATAATAATTCTCGAGCTGTTGCTATCTTATTCTTGTTTTTGATATAATGTTTCTACCAGCTCAACAGGTTATTATCCCTGTTGTTTGACTTACCGTAGTAAGAATATTGTTAAAAATGTAGAGTTTGAGAGTACTGAAAGGATACGACCAAAGGAAACAATAGACCTCTTCTCAAGTGCGAATCCTACAGCTAGGTAAAAGTCCTAGGCTGAGGGACTCGCATTGAGTCTTTATTGTGTTTAGTAATTTCTACACTAGACTCAATATTTACTTAAGTGTTTCTCTCACACGCGGGAGTCACGGTATCATCTACCGGTATTCTCGCTATATTTCTGATCACTCTATCATCAGAAATATTGGATCCTAGATCCAAAACTCAGTATTTGATAATCCTGGGGTTTGAGTTTAGGATTGGCCTTTTTGATAGTCTGGCCCTTGGATGCTACACGCAGACACAAAAGTGCACCTTTTAGTGTGTATTTTGAACGTAGACACGTTCCGTTCGCCGACTTTACCCATGAAACACCTTAATTACAACCAGTGATCAGTGACACTTGGGCTCAACGATTGGATCAGATGAAGGATACCATCTTACCAACGCTTCACCATATTGCCAAGAAATATCCGGGTAGGCTAACGAAGACCTTCGATCGTCCCCATAGCCATGACTTGGTACACTTCGATGAAGGCGATGTGGTGATAGTGCGCTCTGAAGGCAGAACGACGAAGGCAATATGTCTACTCTTTGGTCCGTATGCTACTAAGACTAGAATCGGACAACGCTATCAGATAGCGAACAAAGACGGGTCAGCCCCATCAGACTTAAAAAGCAAGCCAGTCCGTGTCGAACTCATCCGGTTAGTACACCGTATTACAGACCCGCCACTCGACGACACATCGGGGGACGAAGGAGGAGTTGAGTTCCGATACATTATCAAACTTCGCACAACGATGAGACAGGCAAACTGGAATATTTGGTGCGATGGCGCGAAGGCGACCCAACGTGGGAGACAGTCGAGGCCTTTAGCGATCCCAACGACATTGTCGCCTAGCACAAGGACTCGCAGACACGCACGCGTAAACGACGCCGCGATCAGATTTGTACTTTTACATGTACTTAGAACATATATTTGTTATGAACGACGGTCCTCTCGAAAAGTATACTTCGGGTCCTCTAGCTCTCTGAGGTTAAACGCCAGCACACTGCTTTAGCTCTCAGATGATAAATGCCTGGGTACCGGTCCGGGTCTAAGTATTCCTTTCCTTATTGCTAAAGCTGGCACACTAGTAGGCAGTGTTGTGGTCAGAATACACTCAGAGAGGGTTTATTAATTTATATTGGTTTGTTTTGTTCAAGTTTATAATATCAGAATCTGTAAATTCAGTTTGCACCGATCAATGTTCAGATTGGCACATGGCTCATAGGTAACTAGATTCTGTAGTTTAGGATTGATTACTAACAAAAGAACAACGTCTTCCTCTGTACGGAGGGAGAGCGTTGAAAAACTGTTATTCGAAGTCTTACCACTGAGTCCAATGAGATAGCATGGTTCCTTCGATCTCATGATGTTCGTTGGTTAACCGGCGAAATTGAGTTCTGCCAATGTACCTTCGCGCGAAGCTTTATCTTAACAGGATATATTTAGATTCTTAGACTATCATGTAAGCCTCAAACTCGGGATATGATTAAGTCAGACATAAAGAGCTGAATTGACAACTCAAGATAGAGTGTGAGAGTTATTATGATAGGTGGTGTGAGCGTTTTAAGTACAGTTCTATTCCAAATGAATTGTAAGCAATCTGCTTGGACGAAGACTCGACCATATATATGTTATTAGGGTTGATATTCTTATTTACTAGGTTAGTCAATCCAAATAAGCAAAACTCTGTATTGGATTGTACAATTCAGCAACAAAGACTTATGACTAAAGTCTGTCCAGATATAGCAAAGGTCGAGATGGATACATTCACAAGCTTAAAGGAAGGTGGAATAAAAGGTAAAATATTGCTTTCTTAAAAAATAAATAAGGCAAATATGTGTATCTTCTAGCAATGTGAGGATCACCGCCTATGTCAAAGCTATCAAACCGATATATTGAACCTTATATAGTATTAAACTAAATACAATCGACGAATGGAAACCAACACATCTGTTGGTTTGTTTAATACCGTCAAAAGAATTACAAACTAACAGAAAGTGTTTCGAGAATAACTATTTATCGTTAATGTTTCAATGGTGTAAGATACGCACAGTAAGCAGAAAGGTCGCATGTCGACAAGCATGTATGTTATACGAGAGACTAGAATAGCAGATTATGACGCTGATATTAGGAATGCTAGTTTGTGGTATATGTTTACCTATCTCATCTCGCGTACATGTGTGTAATACGTAGTAAAAAAAATCTTGAACGGTTGTTTCGGGTTGGACAGTATACTTCATTCTATGCCAATGGTTCACACATGCAATACAGAGCGACATACTGAGCTGATGCCACCATATCTGCTAACTGTCTATCAGTTACGGGTGCTCTCGCGTGTGACTGGTGCGATCACTACGAGTGTATAGGAATATCGCAGCAGTGCTCACATATCTCGTCTGATACAACAAATGGACTGATGATAGTTATCACATCCGAATGTAAACGTCAATGGACGGGATTTGTCTGGTGTGCCAGGTTGACTTTGTGAAATACACCAGTACATGGAACATCACATAACTTAAGGCTGATTGACATTAACACATCTGAGTCATGTGCGATTGGAGATCAACGTGCACGAGATTAATTTGCGTATTACCAATGTCTCATTGGCAATCTTACATTGGCCAAGTGGGTATTTAGGAGATCACCTAGACATGAGATTTACAACACAATTTTTCTTATGTTCAAGGATTTAACGTTCTGCGGATCCGCTGTGGTAAAATTGCACATGAGATCACAGTGCAGTATCACAAGCATCAATTTTTAAGGCATCAGTAGATGAGATTTGTCTTGTGTACCAGTTTGACATTGTGAAATACACCATGACATGGAGTATCGCAGACCTTTAGGCTGAGTGACATGATCACTCCTGAGCCATGTGCTATTGGTGGTTAACGCGCATGAGATAAATTTGCGTAATACAACACATCTCGAATAACCTTTCAGTTAAAAGTTACCTTACAATAAAGGTGTTATTCCATTTTTTTGCAGCAGATCTGGCCGCATGCCGTAACATATAGAATACGAGCCTAATCATTGCCAGAAAGGTTTTATCAGTATAATTAGATTTGGTCTTGCGAACACGTTTCTGATCAACAACAAAGATTGATAGCGAGGTAGATCGGCAACTAGGTTGCACACAAAGACAGCAGCCAGGGCGAAGTAAAATAAGATTGACGACAGTGACCGTTGCAGGACGCTAATTTTAGCTATCGATCATTAGTTCAACTGATGCTGATATGGACTGCGAAGAGATTTTGAAAGAGTCACAAACCGCCTGGTACTGGCTCAGGAAGCCATGGTATAACTTAGAATGACGATCCACTAAAGGCCTTTCAAATATATATCACAGGAAAATCGAAGTTCAAGGCGGTTTTAAATATGAAATATGGCTATAATTTGTTTTTACTTTGAACCCTATGTAACACAACAGACGATTATGGCTTCTGCATGAGGAGGTCAATAGCCAAATGATGTATGCATAATGTTCGAGGTACGGTTCCATAGTTTATCAGGCGTAAGAGAGGGATATGTTAGGTTAATGAGATCGTACTTGAGTACCTCGCCTGTAAAGGAAAATCGAGATATTTATGTTACCAGCATATGCGTTGGTAGAAACAAATGTAAATAGAATACTCGCGACCCCATCGAACTAAGTTTTTATCATTCGCATGCGTACATTGAGAATCGTACCCGTGGATCAACACATTATGGTTAAGATAGAATACATACAAAAGAATATACATAAAGCTGGGTTCAGATACAATATATACAATATAATTTATAGATACACAAAAACTTCCGTGCCCTTTAGTGAAGTGGTTAACACGTGTCCCTCCTAAGGACAAGACCTGCGGTTCGAATCCGCAAAGGGCAAACCCCTTTTTCTTTTTGCAATAGCGACCTGAAAACAGCCGTGTTTGGCAATAGAAAATTTGGCGGGTTTTTAACACCCCATCCATGTACTAAGAAAATAAAACAGGGCCAAAAATAAAGAAGCGTTCCTGATTTACTAAACCTGGACTTCAATTTATTCCCAATATTTTTTCGGCATATTTCAAGATTAAGTATTTCGTAAATGATATGTGAAGGCGCCATGGTCGTAGTACAAGTAGAACACACCTTCTACGCTAGGAGTCGTCTAACACTACATCGGAAACCTCCAAAACGCGATTATTGGGTCTGGATATGCATAATTAGTAAAGTTTCAAAGTTGTCACGTACAATTATTGTCAAAACAATATCGTATATGCATTCTTAAAACCGTAATGCAAGCTACAGCTGCTAAAATCGAGAAAAATGTGTTTACGAATTTTGATGTGCCATGCCATCGATTGCACGCTGAATCTCATTTCCTGAACTTTTTTTTTTTGCCAAAATTCACTACTTATTCACTTACAAACGATTACAATAACATTACTATGGTTTAATTATACCTATATAGATATAACGAAGGTCTGAAAATCATATTGAAGACATATAATTGAATATGCACACCAAATGGATGTCAGTGATGGACACGCATGCACGTAAATGGTGATTTTGAGCAAGCAAAATAAGCCTTCTATACCACAAAGATGATTTCTGAACTAAAAATACTTATTAGAACCCTTAGAAGGTTCAAACTGCTAATAAGCGACATGGAAATCCAAGATTTGACATGGTCGAACAATCCTGTTCATGAATCGATACATCACTGTATGAACCAGTAGAGCTATCAACTTGGCTCCGTCGCAAAATTATTTTGAAATGTTTATAGAAAAAGTCTAGAAAATAAAATTGGGACTATATCCAAAACCGGATATAGTGAATTAGGTTTGGTTCTTTAAAATCGAGTCCCCTTAGTCTATGGATGGGGAGTTAAAAAAAATAAAATAACAAAACAAAAACAAAATATCCTCTTGCCTCTACTAGGCTCTTGGTCTGTATTTAGAAAAAAAAGAAAAGTAAAAGTAAAAAATATGTAAAAGTAAAAAATATTTACGAGTTAGTAACTTGGTTGTTGGTAAATGTTAACTTCATGTCTGACAATCACACAGCTTTGTATGTACAGTATTTGAAGTGTTGTACATCACATCCAATATGTTTGCTCCAAAACTGAACAAAGATACACGTCCGCTCGGTTCAATCTATGTCGGAATGTCATTGGATGGGTACATCGCACGCAAGGATGGCGGCATCGATTTTCTGGATAAATTCACTCAGAAGACACCCAAAGGAGAAGACTGCGGCTACGCAGCATTCTCCGCTACATATGATGTGATTGTCATGGGGAGAAACGCGTTTGAGAAGGTATGCGCATCGTTACAAGCTTCAACTGCAGCACCTTGACGCATTTCCTTCTCTCACATTGTGCGTGTTTCTTTGTCAATATGACCTTATGTGCCTTATGTGAATTAATTCGTAGTCATTCTTGCTTCAGCTGGGACAAGACATCACTGAGAGGAGATATATGACACATTAGTTTCTACTACTTACGATGTAGCTATCATCGGCAGAACCGTGTTCAAAATTCAAAGTACACTGTTTGTGTGATGTATGTCAAATGTGAGCAGTTTGGTCACATGCATGCGCACTGGTCTCTGAGATCAGGTTTTCCTCGCATGGCTGTGAAGGGGTAGTAACCTACATCAAAGCACACACACACACACACGCATATTTTAGATATACACAGATATACGAAAGTAAATTCGAACACAAACACGCATAAGTTCGTTCAGGCGCACACGCACGCGCACGCGCACGCATACTATTATTTCATTTGCGTATACACATATATCACCAAGGATATGGGTTGTATTGAATACTTTACATTTGGAAAAGTAAAGAGGCCATAAAAATCAACATATCGCAAACAGAGACACAAGTAAATCACATGCGTAAACACAGTTATAGAAGTACCAGCGACTAGAAAGCCCCCACCCCCTCCTATAGAACGCACTCGCACACTTACACGATTTACTAAATTAACAAGCCTTACTCGCTAGTTTATAATCGGCTAGATTTCGCATTCAAAGTTGATAATTAGTAAGGTACAAGAGACGCAGAATCCGCTATTATATATGCTCGATTTGCCGACTATATTCATGATTGACTACTTAAGCTCCTCAAATCTACACTATGTGCCCCATTACGTATTCAACAGCAACAGCCTACACTCGTACCCTGCTATTCGTACCTACGCTCATACCCTGCTATCCTTACCTACATTCATACCTTGCTATCCGTACCTACTCTCAGACCCTGCTATCCGTACCTACACTCGTACCCTGCTATCCGTACCTACACTCATACCCTGCTATCCGTACCTACATTCATACCCTGCTATTCGTACCTACACTCATACCCTTCTATCCGTACCCACACTCATACACCGCTAACCGTACCTGTACACAGGTTTTATCCTTTGGCTTCTGGCCATACGACGGTAAGAAGTGCATTGTGCTGTCACGCAATCCCATGACCTTCACACAGCACCCCCAAGTGCCCGCAGACACCGAACACTCCAGCGAAGAGCCCGAAGTCCTCATGGCTCGACTCGGTAACCATGGTTACAAGCGAGTATATATAGACGGTGGTGTCACCGCACAGCGTTTCCTGCGTGCGGGGCAGGTGGACGACCTTTGCGTCTCCACACTGCCGGTGATAATAGGCGAAGGTCTGCCGCTGTTTGGTTTTGTGCCAAAGAACGTGTGGCTGGAGTTGCGGAGCTCAACGTGCTACCCGCACGGATTGGTCCAGACGACTTACAAGGTCATCAAGGAGTAGGTCCTGCCAGGCTACCTACCAAGGAGTAGATATTGCTCCTCACACGGGTGCTGCTTTTGTGTAGACTCAGGGTTTACTTCAGCCACCAATCTCAGTGTCCGCTGTACGGCGACTACACCTATGGCTTGTATGGTGGATGGGCTAAACCTAGCATGGGCCTCCTTATGGGCACCACAGATGTCTTCGACATACGGCGTGTGGGAGTTCACCCACAACTCACCATGCGCCTGTGAGTGCTATTGCGATGCACAAGCCACTTCACACCTTGTCCCATCTGTATGTGGCTCTGCTCTCATGTGTACGTCGCTGTATTCAAACACCACGGTACACAACCAGCAGACGCGCATAATAGGCGGGTAGGGCTGAATGCTGTGAGTGAACCAGAGTCAATCGAATGCATCCGAGATATTTGGTATTTCACCAGTACACGATCAAATCATCATGAATTGCGAGGGCTTTCTACGGCGTAGTGTGCTGACCCTAAAGTCTGCTTTCATATCTCAGACCACGGTCAAGATTCCGCAGTACATTTAATCCAGAAGAAGCTAGTACGGTTGTTGTTAGTAGGTAAGATTCTTTTGGATTATTTATCCGTCAACAGCTGACGACAGTAAGTCAAAGCTAGTGCAGCGAATGGGGTTTAACTCACGACCCCAGAGTTCGGAATGAGCAGGCTGTATGCCTCTTTAATTTTATAGACACACTTGGTGGATGTGATTGTGTGTGTCAAGGATAATGTGACTGGCTTTCGTTCAACGACATTAGCAAAGACCTTTTCTGTCAGCGAGAAATCTATGTCAAACGTACAGATTGGCAAAACACATGGGCTGGGACACCATTAAACATATTAAACATTGAAGGCACTTTACGCTGATGGTTGTGATGTACTCTCTTGTCTGTTTGTGATCTTTTGGAAAAACATAACCCCCCCCCCCACACGCGTACTGCTTGCGCTGGCACAAATGATGAAGACTCGCTAGTTAGCTTTATTCTAATGGGCATTAGTCTAACATTAAGTTTCTTCGGGTTTCCTGTAGTCTGGCCAGCCACAGTACGCAGCTAATCGGTGGACAGACGTCAGTTCTTGTCATTGTAAGACAGCGGGCCAAGTCATCACCCCGCACGTGCTAAAAATGTCCTCATATCTTCGCCCTGAGACGTTGGCGACCAGTCCAAAGTATAACACAGGTGCACTGACGGTCCAGATAGTCGGGGCAGGTGCGATGGTGCCCGTCACCATGACCAACACTATAGTCGGCGCCTCAGCCGCTGTTGTTAGTGTTTATAAGGCACTAGCCAAACCAAAGAGATTTTAAAATGACTTGCTGTGGGGTTTCTTATGCCGTCTCTGTTACAGCCCATAGTCCGAATCCGACAACGACGTCGCGAAAGGACCCAAACATAAACGGCATGCACAGCCAGTGTTGTGTCCCAGCAATGACTTTTGTCCTATTCTAGCCCTTCCAGCTGTGGATGGTGCTGTATTATGTCCCAACAATGACTTTTGTCCTGTCCTAGCCCTTCCAGCTGTGGATGGGGCTGTATTATGTCCCAACAATGACTTTTGTCCTGTCCTAGCCCTTCCAGCTGTGGATGGGGCTGTATTATGTCCCAACAATGACTTTTGTCCTATTCTAGCCCTTCCAGCTGTGGATGGGGCTGTATTATGTCCTAACAATGACTTTTGTCCTGTCCTAGCCCTTCCAGCTGTGGATGGGGCTGTCCTCACGACAGCCCATGCGCTCATACCATTCCCATCTCGCGCAGCGGCAAAGGCTAAGCTGTGACTGGGCCCTGAGTTTATGCGCAGCGTTTGTGTGGTTATTCGATACCATAGCGTTGGGTGATGTGGGGCTGGCTTAACCACAGTTGTGGTTACTCCATGCGTCGCACTGCCTAAAGAAATTAACGCACACACACACACACACACACACACATTAATATATATACTGCGGAATAAGTTTTCTTCGAACAGCACCAGACTTATATACTGTGGGACCTACAGGCGGCCTACCACCGGGTAGCTATTGCCATATCAGGATCAGCATCAGGACAGCCGAACCTTTTCAAGAGCTCCAGCGTGTACTCTTCCATTAACTGTGAGAGATAAGATAATCCTTAAAGTTAGGGCAATAGTCACACATACGCATACCAATGATCACTAATCACACCTACACTCTTCTACTCGCGGTCACTAGATATGAAGGACATAGACACTCCCACGCAGAAGGATAGCCCTGCAGTGTATACTAACTGTATGACACGACACTCTCCTATACACTCCCATACTATCTTATTCACAGCCTTAGACATGAAGACCATACACTCTCCCACGCAGAAGGATAGCTCTGCAGTGTATACTAACTGTATGACACACACTCTCCTATACACTCCCATACTCGCCTATTCACAGCCCCTAGACATGAAGAACATACACTCTCCCACGTAGAAGGATAACTCTGTAAGGTATACAGACGCACAACGGTCCCTGCATGCGTCCCATATACACCTATACCAATGTAAGCACGCACACACACGTGCACATACCCGGTTGAACTCCTTCTTGCGGAGTGGCTTAGGCATGTAGGCGTCCATGCTGCCTGACATGCACTCGTCTACCTGATCCTTAAGCACGTTAGCTGTCATGCAGACAATGAACATCGGCGCATGCGTCTGTGCACAAGCAGGAAGTGGTGTACTTTTAAGAGAAAGTAGTGTACTTCATAGAGAGAGAGAGAGAGGGAGTGTGTAGGTGAATGCACACACGACACACACACAGAAGGGACACCACGCGCACGAAGACTCACAGATGACCACATAGGCACTTGCGAGGTGGAGGTGTAGGTCTGTATGGAGTGTGGTTGTGTGATACAATGACCGCCGAAGTGATCGGACGCTTCTGCTATAGCTCGTACCCTCAGGGAACTACCCACTGATGAACGGGTGTTGTTCATGTTCACATACACAAACGTCACTGAATAACCAAGGTGCCCGCCATAATCAGAGAGGAGAAGGAGAGGATTCACCACAGCATGGATGATATAATACAGAGACTAGAGAATAAGATAGACACTGTGGTAAGCTACTGCATAGACGGATGGTATAGATAGGGCTGCGTCAGCGAATCATGCGGGGTTTCCGACAATTGAAACTGTCTGTTGTGGCAACACTATGCATCAACGAGCATCTCTCGAGATAAATGTACACGTGTCACGCGCGTGTGTGTGTGTATATGCATATATATATATACACACACACACACACACACACATATATATATATATGTGTGTGTGCGTGTGTGCGTGTGCGTGATCAACGAGTATCTTTCGAGATAAGTGTACACGAGTCACGTGCGCGTGTGTGTGCGTGGCAGTAACGTACCACCCCCTGGGCCTTGAGTGCTTGTTCGTACGCTCTGATCTTCAGGGTGGCTTCGGTTCCATCCATGACAGGCATCTGCAGAGAAACCAACACACGTGGCCCCACATCAGCGAACGTGCATGCGACTACGGACAACTTCATACACGCGCACAGCAGGGTAGTGTGAGCACCCAGTTGTGTACAAGCCTGTCTAATGGAGGTGCAATTTGTATAGAAAGCCGACGCTCTAGCCGTGGGTTAGACTAAATCCTGAGGCTGTTCGCTTGAAAGGGGCTTGGGATAGTGCGATCGTCAAATGCTTGATAGAGTTTCAGAGAACCAGGCATAGGCCATAGTACCGACACCTTTATCGCTGAATGTACCGCAATAGACTGATAAGGCTCAACGCAACAACAACACTTTCGAATTAGAGAGAAGAGCGGCAGGCGGATTGTCTCCCAATGTAGCGCATGTACACAGATAGGGTATTGGGGCTTGTCAGTAACATAAGTGTCATATAAATGTCATATAAGTGTCACATAAATGTCACATAAGTGTCACACAGGTGTCACATAAACCGGTTCATTGTGTGTGTTGGGTGCGTGGCATACACTGATGCTCGTCCTCACCTGTATGTCCATGAGGATCAGATGATAGTTGCCGTTGTGTGGGCTGGGCCGTGCGCCGGTGATGATTTCCACCGCTTCGAGTCCATTGACAGCGACCACGTGCGGCGCCTAAAAATAGAACAGACCATTGAGTTGCAATGACACAGCCCCGCGGAACATCGAACTACTGGGCACATAGCCAACGCACCTCATGCACACGTGTGGGGCAGAGAATTTAGAAAACCCTAAAACCTTAAGACACGTGTGGGGCAGTGGAGCTTTGAGGTGAGACACACATTGGCATCACCAGCGCATTCAAAACACTTCACTTCGACTTACATTCAGTTTGGTGAGGAAGGCAGATGCCACCTTGATGTTGATTTGGTTGTCTTCGCACAACAGCACATTCAGGCCCTTCGGGAACACAAAGTCTTGCGCTGCCTGTTGTTTCAGGGGTTTAGGGGTTTAGGGGTTTATGAGTTTAGGGGTTTAGGGTTTAATGGGCAATGACTTGGGTGAGTGGGGATAGGTAAAAGTCACAACAGTGATACGATCATACAACAGAGCGTGGGCGGCTACATAGAATTCAGGAGGGTTTAAAAAATAGATATATGAACAGACAGAAGTTAGGAACACATACAGACACATGGGTGAGTGAACTTATTGGCCCTCTCCTATTGCATATGTGTAAATATATATACGGACAGACAGAAGATAGGAACACATACAGACACATGGGTGAGTGAACCTATAGCCACACTCTTTTATTGCAAGTGTAAATAGTTATATGAACAGACAGAAGATAGGAACACATACAGACACATGGGTGAGTGAACCTATAGCTACACTCTCGTATTGCATATGTGTAAATAGTTATATGAACAGACAGAAGATAGGAACACATACAGACACATGGGTGAGTGAACTATAGCCACACTCTCTTATTGCATATGTTTAACTAGTTATATGAACAGACAGACGATAGGAACACATACAGACACATGGGTGAGTGAGCCTATAGTCACACTCTCTTGTTGATTCTTGTATTGCTGCCATCGAGGCCCTTCCTAACACTTACCACTGGGGCGATCCTCCGAGTGTTGGCGTAACTGGCTGTATCTGTGGCGGTTCTACTGGGCTGTTTGGTCAGTTGATGAGGTGTGGCGACGGCACTATTCACGTTGATTTTATTATTATTGTTACTATTATTATTATTAACATTATTATTATTATTATTACTATCATTCTTATTTTTAATAATATTATTGTTGTTGTCGTGGTTGTCGTTGTTGGTGTTGAGGTCATCGGCAGTGGCCGTAGCGGTTTCCGTTGTTTGGCCAAACCGTTCAACGAGCACAGTGGAGAATTCAAACATCAGCTGTGTGGGGATTTACGTGAGGACAGTTGAGACATACATCCGTACGACAACACGACAACACCACAGGTCAAGAAGGGATTGGAAGTGATAGTTAAATAGACAAACATCCGTACGACAATACGACAATTCCATCACAGTTCATTGGAGGTGACAGCTGATTACCTATCGTATGACTATACCAATTACACTACAATCCAATGACAGATATGAGAGCACAGGTAGACAGTCAGCGTACGACATAAAAAATATACTCAATTACCAGTCGATGGAAAACATTGGACATTGCGAGGCACACACGGTCACACCCTTGTAGCGAGAAGTCAGCTTATATGTAAGCAACTCTTTCCGTATACAGGTAGGTATATTTTTCTACATATAGGAAGGCATCTTTTAGTTTTTTACGAAGTAGAGAAACACGCGACGAATGCGTGCAATGCACCGTCAAATACAACAACGACTAAAAGTCACGCGCCAGTTGCAAACACGAAAACAAAACATAATCCATATATCTATTATGTGACTAAACACAATCTATGTATCAATTATGTCAATTAAACACAACCTACGTATCAAATATATCAACTAAACATAATCCATGTATCGCTTATGTGACTAAACACAATCTATGTATCAATTATGTCAATCAAACACAACCTACGTATCAAATATATCAACTAAACATAATCCATGTATCACTTATGTGACTACACACAATCTATGTATCAGTTATGTCAATTAAAAACAACCTACGTATCAAATATATCAACTAAACATAATCCATATATCTATTATGTGACTAAACACAATCTAGGTATCAATTATGTCAATTAAACAATCCATGTACCACTTATGTCAACTATACGCAATCTATGTATCAATTATGTGACTAAACAGAATCTATGTATCAATTATGATAATTAAACACAATCTACGTATCAAATATATCAACTAAACATCTATGTATCAATTTTGTCAATTAAACACAATCTATGTATCACTTATGTCAACTATACGCAATCTACGTATCAATTTTGTGGCTGCTTTAGACGTACAATCTTTATGAGGTTTGTGATAGTGGTATATTGATATCTCCACATAATTGTATTGCCTACAGACACAGATAGATGCAGAGTGCATTGTATATGTGGGCCAAACGCACGCGTAAGCCAGCATTCACACACACTACATACAACCTTTGGTGCATATTATGCACCCATACAGTGAACGTCTAACGTAAACGCAAAAAATAATCTAATTTTATACTTTTCAACGTAAAATGGACAGACTGTGTCTCACCGAAAACTGCCCTGTCTCACGCACACGCACACACATACCTACACTTAGACCTACACCTACACTTATACGCACACGCACACGCACACGCACACACCCGGTTGAACTCCTGCTTGCGCAGTGGCTTGGGCATGTAGGCCTCCATCTGGCCCGCCATTCCCTCGTCCACCTGGTCACTGAGCACGTTCGCTGTCATGCACACAATGTACGCCGGTGGTCTCAGCGACTCCTTGGCGCGTTGTGCGTCTTCGTGTGCGCGTATGGCGATCGCTGCCTCTGTACCGCCCATGTCAGGCATCTGCGATTAGGTAGTATGGGTTATAGGGTTTTAGGGTCTTGAGGTCAGACTGTACTGGTTCTAGAGGTTTAGGGTGCAGGGCTATAAAGGTGTGGTATCTCGATCGCGAAGAATGATGATGTAATGAGTAGTCTATATACACATTAATAGATAGCTGAGTGAAACAATATGAAAATCGATGTTATATATATACATATATATATATATA